ATGGCTGTTGGAACGGATTAATTTCGTAAGTAGAGGTACCACTGTAAAGGGAAGAATTGCATTAAAATATAATTATATTCTGTTTTTAATATGTAATTAATAGTTCTTTGGTCAATTAAAGTCTATATTTGCAGATAACTAACAGAATTTTGTGTAATCAGTCGGGCTTGCTATAGGTAAGGTGCTGTAGCAGGGGTGGAGAACTCCATGCCCCCTTTGGCACGGAGATGTGAAAATGGGCAATGGGAGTAGGAACAGACAGTATATGGGAAGAGCTTGGAGAGACCTTTTTTCAATGCCATTCATCCTACCAACTTAGCGCCCTAGAAGGGGGGCACAATCTGGTGCCTGGTTCAAAACATTTCCTGCTCCTTGGATGACACAGCTGCATTTTCAGTGGGTAATCCAACCTTTCTTTCAGCCTGAAAGGCTTTGGGTGCATCTACACTGTAGAAATAATGCACGTTGACCCCACTTTAACTGCTGTAATTCCATCCTATAGAAACTTGGGATATGTAGTTTTGTAAGGCACCAGCACTCTTCAGCAAAGAGAGCTAAAGACCTTGTAAAACTACAAATCCCAGGGTTCCACAGGATGGAGCTACAGCACTTAAAGTGGTGCCAAAATCCATTATTTCTACAAGGTAGATACATCCTTTGGGCCCTCAACCCCTGCAGTCTTACAAAGGAGATTTCAAGCCTTTGGGAAACAGGTATTTATGCTTTTGGGCGAGTTGTTGCACTAGGACACAGTATTTAAAGTTCACTTCAAGTCCCCCTCTTATTCCATAAATGCAAAACTGTCGTGGCGCACAAAGATAAGCGCATGGAGATTAAAATAATCACTTTTAAAAAAGGCTTACCTGGGAAAATGACAGCATCAAATTCATCAACTTTCAATTCGGCCAAATCCTGGATGTTCCCTCTTGCAAGCCGGGCGCTTTCCACTAAAACATTTCTCTTTTCTTCACTTGTGCTGCCTTTTAAATGGTCAATAACATGCATTTGCTCAATATTTGGTGCAAATATCTTTACCTGAAAAAACAACAACAAATAAATGGTAAACAGGTGGACTGTATAGTGAACAAGGAACTAAACACTCCAGCAGTTTCATACATCAAGAGCTAAGTTTTTTAAAAAAATGTAAGCAAGATAATATTGCAAGCATCCAGACTGAGAGGTTTCCTAAATATGAAGATCTCAAAATATAGTGAGGCAAGACCTTTAAAACCCAACCAAATGTGCTCTTTATGCATTATGTTATTTTAAATGCTCTCTATTGAATTAGATCACCTGGTGTTAGAAATGCAATTCAAACATGGTTTTCCTAAAGTAGGCTACCGCACAGTAGTATAGTTATATACAATGCTGACAAGTTAGTTATCCTCAATAGTATATTTTAAATGTAGTAATTTTCAGTTCATGCTAACTCAGAAGTGAGCCTCATTAAGTTGTATGGGAATTAACGTCCTAAGGCTGCAATTATTTTTAAGCCTATTGTACTTTGTTCATTTTGTTGGAAGTGTAGCAGTTCGAGTGCTGGAGTCACAGTGTTTTCTTGGTAAGTTTTTTCAGAGGGGGTTTGCCAATGCTGTCCTCTGAGGCTGAGAGAGTGTGACCTGCCCAAGGTTCAAGGTTATTAACACTTGTGTTCAACATTTTTAGGCCAGTGTGGCGCAGTGGTTTGAATGTTGGACTACGACTCTGGAGACCAAGGTTCGAAATCCTCTCTCAGCCATGAAATCCACTGGGAGACCTTGGGCAAGTCACACACTCTCAGCCTCAGAAGGAAAAGGCAAACCTTCTCTGAAGAAATACTGCCAAGAAAACCCACGATAGGTTCATCTTAGGGTTGCCGAAAGTCAGAAACAACTTGAACAACACACAAACAAAAATGCTCTTGAACACAGCGAGGTTAGCTTCCAAAACAATATACTTTGGGCTTTTCTTGTCAAGATAGCCACTGTCTGATCTTACAGGGAGAGAAAAAATGAAGCAGGCAAAACTCATTTCCTTTGGATTGCTGTGTGAATAGAAGTCCTCACAAGGCCGGTTCTCAGCCATATAGAGAGCAGAGTGAAAGGCAGTGCAACCAACGCACCTGTTTTTCTATCACGTGTGTGTCACTTTCTGGCTTGGTCACTGCTAAAGATGAACAGCAAAACAACTGCTGCAGGTGTGTTGTGTGCGCGTTTGGACCTAATGTCCCACACATGGCTCCATCTTGGGATTTGCAGTTTGGGGAGGTATTCAACCTGGTCTGTTACGAGAGCTCTGGCGCTTCCCCAAACTACAAATCCCAGGATTTTGTAGAGCAGAGCCATGG